TTCTGTTTTACCATGTGGTTAATTTTGGTTTGAAATTCTTAGGTGGGCCTGATTTGAAGGTGCCTGGTTTAGAAGAACCTAGTTTAGATGTGGATGTGTTAGATGGGCCAGCTTCATTTGGGCTTGTGAAAGGTGGATCAAGGCAAGTAGAAGATGGCCTAGCAACAACAGGTGGTCCAGTAGCAGAAGATGGGCCAGTAGCAGAAGTTGAGGCCTGTGGCTTAGGCTTTATTGATTGGGGTTTCACTGTCCTAGCCAAATTCAGTATAAAACTAGGCTCACTCAAACAACCAACCCACAAATCTATCTCCTTGCTTTGTATAGTCCCAAACATTTTCATCAATGTACCATCATCCACTAAATTAACAGCCTTTTCATTATAGCAATAATGTATCCCAGGATACTCAGGGAACTCAAACCCTCTTTTAGCAAATTCCTCACACATATCATTAATCACATCAATTAGCAAACATTTATCAACATCATCAATTGTTAAATCTACACAATTACCACGATAGTGGATTTTCAAAATCCTCTCTTCCTCCATCTGCAATATGTTACCAATGCATCTATCAATATTTAAGCAACTTTAGAGCAATTAAACTAATCATACCCCCCCCCCCACACACACACAAAAATTAGTCACAACTAAACTGACAAACAATCACGCCAATTATACAAAATCGAAACAACCCACAATCGAAATAACCCACTAACGAAATTACCCCCAAACGACATAACCCACAACCAAAGCACGCAAATTTCCACATAACCACCATATAAACAACACAAATCAACAAAATTTTCAAACTTTAAGAACTCATCAACCCAATACATTCATAATTCGACAAGTATGGAACAACTGTAAAGGGGTGAATAATTGACCGAAATATATACCTCCATTGATGCTACTCCTCCACTCCGAGATTGATCTCCACGAATGGCAGACTAAGATTTTTGCGCAAGAATTTTCGCTAATTCTGTCTCAGTTTCTCTTCTTAGGGTTTTTGATCAATGACTGAAACAGGGGGAATAAAGTCAGAGAAGAGGAGGGAATTTTGAAGGAGAGAGAATGTGCTTTGAGTGTACAGTAACAGTTAGGTGACGGAATAAATGCCAACCCAAACGTCCGTCATAAATGCATGCTGACGTAGGTTACTGTATAGTGACTATTCGTAGAAATTCATATTTGTCAGGTCACAACGTAGAAAAGTCAAAAAAATGAGATCACCATGTAGAAAAACCCTAAATTGATTAAGAAGATCAACTTGTATTTTGTGCTTGAAGATACAGCAGGAACGCCTTGTCAGTTGTCACCCTTGAATCTTCGTCTTGGCAAAGTTTACTAGAAAACTCAAAGATGAAGTTTCAAGCTCTGCGTTTTAATGGCGGTACCTCTCTTTTTCCCATAATTTCTTCCTCCTTTCCTTTTCATTTTCGAAATTGTTGCCATTTTTCCAGTGAAAGAATTGTTGCAATTGATGACCGTAATTTAATTCTCAATTCTGTTAGAGAACAATGCAAATTAGGGTTTTACGATCTTAAACTTCCACAATCTCTCTTCAATCAATTGACCTCTTTGCGTCCTCTTCCTTCTATCATTGTTTTCTGTCAGCTTTTCACTGCCATTTCCAAATCGAAACATCTTCATCCCCATTCCACCATTATCTCTCTCTCCAGACGCCTTGACTTACTTGGCCTTTCTCCTAACAATTATTCCCTCACCATTCTCGCCAATTCTTACTGCCATCTGGGCTGTATCGATTTCGGGTTTTCTCTTCTTGGTAAAAGGCTTAAGCTTGGGTATCCCCCTGATTGTGTTATCTTTACTACCTTAATTAATGGCTATGTCCACTATGACAAGCTTCCACTAGCTGCTCAGTTATTAAATAAGATTATCAACTTAGGTTTCCAACCAAATATAGTTACCTATGGTGCTATTTTCAAAGGCCTTTGTAGGATCGGCGACAATGCCAGTGCTCTCACTTTGCTTACCAAAATGCATTCTGGAGGTCATTGTAAGCCTGGTCTTGTCATATACAACACTATTATTGATAGTCTCTGTAAGGACAGCTTATTACAACAAGCTATGGACCTCTTCTCCGCTATCAAAACCGAGGGCATTCAACCTGATGTTGTCACCTATAATTCCTTGATCCGAGGCTTTTACAATTCTGGATGCAGGGAAGAGGCTAAGGGTGTATTGACTGAGATGTTAAAGAGCAACATAGCACCTGATGTTACAACCTTCAGCATGCTGGTTGACATGTTTTGTAAAGATGGGAATGTTGAGGAAGCGGAAGCGATTTTAAGACTCATGACTGACAAAGGTGTAGCTCCTGACATTATTACTTACACCTTACAGTGGTTTACTTGATGGTTATTGTTTGCGTGGTCAGATGGAAGATGCAGAGAAGCTACTTGATATCATGGTCCAGAATGGTTGTGAGCCTGATCTTGTAAGTTTGAGTACTATGATCAATGGATATGTCAAACTCAAAAACATTGACAAGGCTCTTACTGTATTAGAAGAAATGTTTAAGAAAGGAATAACACCAAATGTTGTAACCTACAACACCCTTATTGATGGCTTGTGTAAAGCCAATAGACTTACACTTGCACGCCAGTTGTTCACAGATATGCAAGCTCACGGAGTTACTCCTGATATTGTCTCGTATAGTTCATTGCTTGATGGCCTATGTAAATGTAAACGGCTTGATGAGGCAGTGGCATTACTTGATGATATGGAGGATAAAGGTATTAAGCCTAATACTGTCACTTACAACATCCTTATGGACAGTTTGTGTGAGGCTGGACAATTGAAAGATGCAGCAACTTTTTTTTCTCATCTTGTATCCAAGGGTCTGCAACCTAATTGTAAGACATACAATATATTGGTTAAAGGCTACTGCAAGAAAGGGCTCATGACTGAAGCTGCTCGATTATTGAGGATAATGGAGGACAACGGTTGTTTCCCTGATGGTATCACCTATAATACAATCATCAGAGGATATATTCTCAATAATGACTTCGCAAAAGCATTATACTATCGTGATCTTATGGTAACCAAGGAGTTTGAAGCTGATGCAGACACTTTCGCATTATTTATTGACCTTTTGTCTTCTGATAAAATAAGTGATTCGTCCAAGGGTCTGCTTCAGAAGTTTATTTAATGAATTATAGTGCAAGTTTGCCAAGATTGGAGCTTTTTTTGTACCTTGGATATCAATCAAATGGTTTTTCTTGAGGTATCTATTTATCTTTTATTACAGTAAATTAACTGCTAATGTTAGGGTCTCTAATCTTTTCCATGACTTTCCAATTGTGGGCTGTAGTAAAGTTCATTGCTCTGTTTTTCCCCTCTTCTTATATATGCTGTATAGTGCATATTCTGAAATACTAGAAATCTCAATTTGTATAAGTGATAAGGCTTTGAGGTCTGATATCACAATTACTGTATCTACTATTTGCTGAGCCCGGATGGCATAGCTTGTTTCAACCAGAGAACTAGAAGGGGAAATTAACCAGGTGCCAGATAACCAAGCTCATGTTAGGAGACCAGCACCTTCTGAATTTATGATTGAAAATGGAAAATTAGCTATGGAAATACTGAATTGGTGCAGGTATCTTTTAATTAATTTGCTCGCTCTTGTTTTGTCTTGTGTATTATTCAAAAAAGTTGAGTAAATGTACAAATTACTTAAGCTTATTATACTATTGTGTTAAATCAATATTTTGAGGTTGAAAAGTGGACAATAGCTGGGTGTTATGTATAGACAAGTAAGCATGGTCGTGAGTGTGTGAAGTAATAGATTTAATTGTTAGAGAATAACAAGATAAAAGATAAGCATTGACTGAATAAATACAAAACATAAAGCTAAATAATATGATAATTAGTTTATTTCTTTACACGCCCCCGCAAGATGGACGGCCGAAGGGAAAGTCCAATCTTGAAAGACAATTATGCCTTAACATGCCCGCGCAAGACGGATGGTCTGTAGACGAGGCCAATCTTGGAGCACAAGGGAGTGAAGCGTGTGACTGTAAGAGGTGTAGTGAGAGCATTTGCAAGTTGATCATCACCAGAAATATGTTGAATTCTAAGAGAGTAGTGAGTGGGTTTCTCCTTAAGAGTTTGGAGAAATAAGTTTATGCTTGACAACACTTGGTAGATAAATTATGGGTTGTCGAAAATGGTTTTGTTTCTCCGTAAGGGATGTGGAGACAAAAAAAAAAAAATGATAGTTGGCTATCCTTGTAGAGAGATTACAAGGTGCCGAATTATGGATTTGTTTCTCCGTAAGGGATTTGGAAAGAAAAAAAAATAAAAAAATTGATAATTGGCATTCCGTGGTAGATAAACTACGTGGTGCCGAGTTAAAAATTAGCTTTGCAGGCATTCCATGGTAGATAGATTACAGGGTGCCAAAGAGGGATTGTTTCTCCATAAGGAGTTTGGAGCTATCCGAGAGGGAAGTTGAATATGGTCACCATCATTTGTCGGCGTTGACAAAGGGTTTTGATGGTGTAGCCATGATAGTAGCGGAAGCGGAAAAAAAAAGTTGGATCAATAGCATGATAACATATTAGATTAGCAAAAGCTATGAAGGTTTTATATAATTGAATAATAAACCAGAATTACAAAGCTATATTTATAGCTAACAATGAACGAGATAATCCCACAAAGCTAGCTAACAACTATCAAGATAAACCAGAGGGATAAGTATATATCCTTATTATTAGGAAAGCTATCATTTAGTATAGTATTGGAGATTCAGAGTTAAGAACGTGTAAAATGTACTTAAAATAGCTGATTCTTATATAGAGTATTAGAGTGACTTAATTAATCTCTATCTTGGATAGTTCCCAATTTACTATGCTTAGGTGAGTTACATTTTGCAATGCAAATGGTCACTAGCAGCTTCATAGTTTCATCTGTTTGTAGTTTTCTTAGGAATTAACATACTATAATCATATTCTCTTGGAACTTTCTTTGACAGGTTGGTTCAAATTCGAAGCCTGTTGAAGGACAGGGAGCTTGAACTGCTCACTAAGGAAGGCCAATCCATGACCGCCTGGCTGAGCCCCAACGGCAATCACAAATCCTAGTACGGAGTAATATTTTTAATAAGTAGTCTAAATAATAAGTAATATCCTAGTATCAAGTCAGCATTACTTGATTTTTTTTTTTAATAGAATCACACATATCAAGTCTTAATCAAATTTAACTGTCTGTATATATGCTGTTATATATGTTTAAGTATATTACTGTCATTAATACATGCATCTGCTAATTAAGTACTTCATATATCTTATTTCAAACTTGTACGATTCATTTCTACCAATAAACTTGAGGCAGTTCAAATTCATAGCAATGCCCACTATATAAAAAATATTCCAAAAAAGAAAAAAAAAAATCTCATTCATATAAATTGTAATTTATAAACATATATACACTTGCGTTACGAAATAAAAGAATGAATAAATAATCCTCCACAATTATACTCTAATTCAAAAAATAATCAAGATGAAAACTATCAAACCATCAACTATTATTAATTATCCTACAATTCTTTCTAATTTCACCTTGAAAGCCAGTGAGAACCTCAATAGAACCCATATGAACCATTGCTTTACCAAACTTGTTAGCCCAAACACCGCCTTGCTGATTGTAGTTCCTAACCAAACTTGCAGTCCTAGGACTACTCATAAGACATTGATCCGAGGTTAACAATTCCCTTTTGTTAAGTACATTTTGATAATACTTGTTGTCCAACCTATTAGGTGTGATAAAATCTTGAGCAACGGTAGGATCAACATTGCTACGAGCATTACTAGGACACCGGGATTTCAACATATTAGCAAGCCTAGGATCCATTGATGGGTCTTGTGGGTTTGTAGCGTTAAAGGTGTAAAGTCTTTTGGTGAAAGAAGAACAATGTGAAACTCCAATTGAATGTGCCCCAGAAAGGGTGACCATTTCCTCTACAGAAAGGCCTTTTCGTTCAAAGCTTTTTTGTAGTTGTTGTAAGTTGAAAAAGAATGGAGGTAGGTTATGGTTAGGGTCATCCTTAAGTGAGACCCTCCCATCACGTCGACCTGATTGTACAGCGTAGTATATCCCTCCTAACTTGAAGGCACTGTCTCGTGCTGCAAAGGCTATGATATCTGCACAAGAGACTGTTTGTGGGCATCGAGCTTCAAGTTGCTTCTTTGCCTCATCTATCACTTCATAACCTCGCATGCTTGGGTTGTTAGCTATATTGTCTTTCTCAGCTGGGCTGCCAGGGGTTGAATCAAGTAGAATTGAAGCATCACAACCCTGAAATTTGAATTATAATATGGAAAATGAAGTTAGTTTTGGAAAGTACATGTAACATAAAATTAATGTAAGCAAAGTTAAATTAATTTTGTTCCTTACCCTAACAAAACAATCATGATAATGCATTCTAATAAGGCCAGCACCTAAACCAGGATTCCTAGTGACTGCAGTGCTGACTACATTCCTCACAATAGCCTCCGCCGAGGGACAAGTCCGTTGATAATATCCCACCTTCAAAGACGACGACCATGACAAGGCAGTAGCTGTACACATACATGCCATGGCAAGAAAGAAAAGCATACAAAGCACTGAAAGCGACATTTACACTTAAAATAATTGAGCTGCTATTTCACTAGATCAGTTTATTTTTAATACTGTGTTATAATGTGCTGTATCAAAGTGTTGAAAATAAATGAAGGAATGATGAAGGATGAAGTAACTGGAGAGTAATATGGTGGAGTTTATATAGTTAGGCGTGTTAAGTTTGATTGTAGAAAACGTGTAGCCACCTTAACAAGCATTGAATTGAATAGTTCCATACAATTTTACTATTACCAAAATTGGCAACTGGCAAATGGGTATTCCTAGCTATATGGTAGCCACTACCCAGCAGTTTCCTGTCTTTATTATTCACCTAAATGACTACTGATATAATTTGATCCAGTTGCTCGTTACTCATCTTTTTATCCTGCTAAGATAATAACTTGATGATTCGGATACAATTCTAAAATAATCTTTTTAAAAAAGGAATGAATCAACAATGAGACAATTTTAGTGGGACAAAGAGATAATAAAAAGTACTCCGTACAAATATACATAGACTATTAGAAACACATGCGTGAAGAGAAGAATAATAATTATTTTGAGCATTTTCTATTATTGTTCTTTTATGATAAAGAGTATAATGCTACTCGTAGAGCCGTAGTAGTATAGTGACTGTCAAGTTAAGTTTCAAATTGCCAAGTATCAAGTTAAGTTTCAAATTGCCAAGTATAATACGGAGTATTATTTAAATTGAAGTACCATTTAAATGGGTTATTAAGTACTTCAAGGCAGACATCATTTATAGTTTGATAGTTTCTATTAACAATACAAGTTGACATGCATGAAGGATTATATTAACAGTAACTTCGTATTAAATTTTCTGTCCTTTCTTATTATAAAAATGGTAATACTTTTTTTCTTTATAGTTTTAACGTACTTTAATTAATTAACTAAATCAAGTATGGAGTATGTAGTCTGTAATCTGTATTAGGTAATCACTAAACAATCATCGAGACATATAAACGAACAAGATCATATATGATAATTAATATTATAATACTACCTATTTGTATGTGTAATGATAAATTTCAGCCAAAAAAATTTAAAAACTTAATTTGACCTCAAAATATTTTTTTGTGAAGTGAAGGGTGTATAATGTATATGAAGTGATTATGAACCTATTTGAAAAAATTGAACGTAAACACATTTGTTTGCTCAAACCACACGTGCATGTTAATATAATTTGGATTCAGTTCAGATAATTGAAAGTCAAAGTTCTGATAAAGAAGGCTTGACCCAATAGCCAACCTCCACTACAAAGAACCTACGTTAAATTGTTTAGCATACAAGTTCTAGCTTCAAACGTAGTAGTTGAAGAAAAACATTGGGAGATAAAGTTTAGAGTAAAAATTATATCTAAATTATATTATTATTGTTATTATTCAATTGCAAATCGCATAGATTTATTGATTAGTTCAAATGTCTCTTTTTCTTGGGTAAAGAAGTTCAAAGGAAGACGCACAAATAAAATTCAGATCCATTTCTTCATCACATTCCTTATATACGTAAACGTAATTAATAAACTTTATACATAATAATTAATGAAGTATTTTAATGAGATGTTCTTAAGAATTGTTGTAATCATTAGGAATTTTTATACTTCGGGTATCAACTATCAAGATTATAATTTATGGTATTTAAGCGAAGTAAACCAATTACTGTATCACATATAATTAGATGTGATCTATCCAAGTGTAATAGGAGTACTTCACTTGGTAGGTGAAGGTCACAAATTCACATAATTATTGGTAGCTACGGTTTGTTACTTGTTGGAGCTTTGCTAACTCCAACCCTAATTATTTTAGATATGAAAGTAAAGAATTTTATATTGGGACAAAAGACTTTGTTGTTATTGTTATGTGGATAAGATAAGATTTAATGTTTTTCATGCAAAAATCTCTTAAAGAGGCAAAGTTACAAAAAAGTTAACAATTTATGCCTATCAATTTTCAAAATTCGAACATTATTCAATCCATCTATGTATTAAGCAACAAAAACTGAGGATGCAGGAGTTGGAGGGATGGTTAGTCCCTCCCCCCCACCCCAAGTGATGGGGTTTGTTTTCTCATCCCCCATCCTGTGTGATAGGAGGGGGGTCCTCCCCGTTTCTTACCGTTTAAAAAACAATAAAATAAAATAAAAATTAAGCAACAAAAGCTACTATTTGAAGAAAATATAAGCTAACAAAGGCTTTGAAGGAAAAGGTCAAATGAGTGAAATATGTATTTAATTCAATTAACTTTAAAATTGATCGAATTCAAATACAAAGTAAATTTAATGAAGTAGTTGAAGAAAAGATGAGTTTATAAATATTAAATAGTACTTAATTAATTGCCAATTGCATGAAATAGTTGATCTATTCAAAGGAAAACAAGCCCAATATACGGCCCATTTCTCTATATTTCTTCACACATGATGCAGGTTGTTCTTGTCACACGTTTTTGTCCAAATATACATTGAATAAATGATTTCCCATTTGTCACCAGTCATATATATATATACACACACCTTAAATTATCTAAATATCATCTTTCATTTCTTTAATTTACTACAAAAACATTAATTTTCCTGTCTTAGCATTTTTTTCTTCCAAAATACTTTGTTTTATTCATTAGCTAACATATTTTAACAAGCAAACATGCAAAAATACATTGGTTTTAGCTTTGTTTTACTTCTTGCAATGTCAACGGCTTGTTTGGGATCCAATCTTCAGGTTGGTTTTTATCAGCAAACTTGTCCTTCAGCTGAATCTACAGTCAGGAATGTCGTAAACAAAGTTGTTTCGCAAAATCCGAGATTAGGAGCAGCACTTATTCGCATACATTTCCATGATTGCTTTGTTAGGGTACGTATAGTTCTATACATCACTTTCATAGTGTACGAAAATTTTTATTATTGAGTAAACCTCATGGTAGTTGTTTGATTTTCAGGGATGTGATGCATCGATTCTACTAGACTCAACACCGGGGAACCAAGCAGAGAAGGAGCATCCGGCAAACAACCCAAGTCTACAAGGGTATGAAGTCATCGATGAGGCTAAGGCAGAGCTCGAAGCCAAATGCCCAAACACGGTCTCTTGTGCAGACATCATAGCCTTTGCAGCTCGAGATAGTGCCTTGAAGTTAGGAAGAATAAACTATGCTGTACAAGCAGGCCGAAGAGATGGATTAGTCTCAAACATAAATGATCCAACAGGAAACATCCCTCGACCATCCTTCAACCTAGAACAGCTACAAGAAAATTTTGCTAGGAAAAGCCTTTCATTAGAAGAAATGGTCACCCTTTCCGGGGCTCACTCTATTGGAGTCTCACATTGTTCCGCGTTCAATGAAACTCACCCACAATACCCTTCTTTGGACCCTAGAATAGCCAATGTTTTAAGGGAAAGGTGCCCAAATCCACCTGCTACTACTGATCCAACAGTTCCTCTTGATTTTACTACACCAAACAGGTTAGATAACCTTTACTACAAAAACTTGCAGACTAATAGGGCTTTGTTGACCTCGGACCAAGCTCTTATGACTTCACCAACCACGGTTCAAATGGTGCGCAATTTCGGCTGGCAGGGTAAAGTTTGGGCTAACAAGTTTGCTGATGCCATGGTTCATATGGGTTCCATTGAGGTTCTCACTGGTGCTGAGGGACAAATCAGAAGAAATTGCAGGGTTGTTAATTATTAGAAGAACAGAGCTACATAATAAGTTATGCTTACAAAAATATTTGTTTATTTTTTCATTTACATTACAGATTTGATTTGCTATTCATTGAATTTCAATTGTTAAAAAGGCTAATGTTAATTTCAAAGGAAATTTTGAGTGAATAATAAGTTTTGCTGTACAATGCACAAGGATTATATATATCCCAGCTAATTAGTTTATATTTAATCACAAATTAGTTTTTTTTTTTTTTTTTCTCTTTATTGCAAATTTATTTTAAACTTAAATTTGTCATATTCTATTTCGCTTTTTCCTAGTACCGTCACCAAAGACTAGTTTAAAATATTATATTTTATCGTTCTTAAAGCTGAAAAGTTATTGTCAAACATATTTTATCAATAGATGGAAACTACTCATAAAGTTTATACTAATACCACTATGACAAAGTCACAAAAGGGCTGCTAGGCGCTAGTTAGTATATGTTTCGTGTAGCATAGAAGTAGCCATAATTCTTTTTCCGTTTGAAAGGTTCAACTTTCACCATATAAATGAGTTACCATAAAAGTTTATTTTTTTCAATGTTTGGTAAATCAGTACAATAATATCACCAACACTTTGTAACTTGGTTTCTTGTAAAAATGAAGAACAAACGAACCAATTATAACCAACCATTGATATATTATACAAAGAAAATTATATAAAGTGCTAAATTCACACGCTTATTACTATATTTCTCTCACACCCTAATATAAATATCCATTGCTCTCTGCTTGCTTTCTTCACACTAATTACATGCTTTCATTAGTCCACAATATGACAGGATCAATCTTCTCATTGTTGTTTTTCTCTTTGTTCATTACCTGCACTGCAACCCTCGAGGCCGGATTGTATCGATCCACATGCCCATCAGCCGAGGCTATTGTAAGAAGATCAGTAAACAGGGCGATAACTCAAGATCCTGGTTTAGGAGCAGGTCTTATTAGAATGCATTTTCATGACTGCTTTGTCAGGGTAATTGATCCTTTTAGACCGTGTTTTCAACTTAGTAAAGTTCAGTTTAAACAATAAAAATCAGTTTTAATCGATTAAAACCATATAACACAACAAATGAATGAAAAGTACTGAAGTTTTTTTTTTTCTATGGTAGGGTTGTGATGCATCTATACTACTCGATTCGACACTGAGTAATCCCTCAGAAAAGGAGAACCAAGCAAATGGTCCAAGCCTAAGAGGTTACGAGGTGATCGATGAAGCGAAAGCAGAACTCGAGTTTAACTGCCCTGGGACTGTCTCATGTGCAGACATCCTAGCATTTGCAGCCCGAGATTCTGTGCTAGAGCTTGGAGGGATCAGCTACCAAGTCCCGGCAGGTAGAAGAGACGGCAGAGTATCCATCAAAGACGAACCAACACAAAATCTTCCTTCACCAAACTCGACTGTTGAACAACTACAACAAATGTTTGCTACAAAGGGACTTAACTTACAAGAAATGGTTGCACTTTCTGGTGCACATTCAATTGGCCGTGTAACGCGATGTTCTGTATTTTCTCACAGACTTCACACCTTCAATGCTACTCATGTACAAGATCCTGCAATGGACTTAAATTTTGCTAGCGAAATGAAAAACAATTGTCCTTCAATTACGAGTGCAGGAGTAGTTAGTGACAATGTTAAAGTCCCACTAGATGGTTTTACGCCGAGTAGGTTGGATAACAGGTACTTCAGGAACTTGGAGACAGGGCGAGGCTTGTTGGCTTCTGATCAAGCTCTAATGCATAATCCTCGGACGGCATCGATGGTAAGAAGGTTTGCTAAGTATGGGAGGGTTTGGATGCCGAAGTTTGTTAATGCTATGACTCGTATGGGTTTGATTGAGGTCTTGACTGGTACACAAGGTGAAATCAGAAGAAACTGTAAAATTGTTAATCTGTAAATATTGTATTAGTATGAATTTATTGTCAAATTTATGATACTTAATGCTAGGGATAATGATGAAACTATCAAATGTAATTCTCGTGTTCTAAGCAATTGATTATAAATTGCATGATTATTGCAATTGTAAAATACTTCTTCTGTTCTTTTTTAATTGCACCATCTAATAATACAAGTATCATAGAATGAAACAAGTCTAAGAAAATGACCTAAGAATTGTTCATTGGGCAGCACAAGATATAGTAAGATTGCTCAAGTGTTGTATAAGAAATATTTTTGTTCATAATTTACCAGTCTAAAGATATTCTTTGGCTGGGACTAACTAGGAAGGTCATTCGAAATCAAAGATTTTCAAACCTACCATGATCAACAATTTTTGCAATTGCAAAAAGTGGTACATCGTAAGCTTTGTAGCTACGACTTTGTTGGTTCCCCCATTTTACCTTATTTTTGTGGGCCAATACATAATTGGGCCTAATACGGTAATATAGATTTATAGATAAATCTTTGGGCCTAAACGTTGAAAACTCAAAAAATCGGATTTTTAAGACAAATTTGGGTTAAGTTTCTTGGTTCTGAGTCAAACGACTTTATATATTTCCTGTCCAAATTGATTCAATTTACTAAAACACGATGAATAGCTAAAAATATTTTTACTAATTATGCAATGAATCACTCAACTCCACTCTATTGATTGTACACAAATTTTTTTTGAAGCAAAAGCTAAAAAAACAAATTAAATAAATTTTAATTAGCTCTTTACCATGTGAGTGAATAAACCTTTCAAAAGTATAATGACCATCATTTTAAGATAATAATGATCATTTAAATAATTTATTATAACCAACAAATTAGAATATATATTTTTTTATATATATATCAACATAGATAAAATTTTCAACGTCATATTCACTTGAATATTCAAAGTACAAAAGGTTAAAGAAATATGCATGGAGTAATAGAAAAACCAAGTGTCAAACGTCACAATAAAGTGTGTTATGAACTACTGGTAGATTAAATTATTACGGAGTGTCGTAATTACTTTGTTCTTTTTTAATACAATGTTGAAATTTCAACTTTACTCATGCATATTTTACTATAAATTTTTTATCTTTAAGTAAATTTATAAATATATTTTTTTATATTTTACGAATCTAAGTAAAATTTTATATAATTATATTTTTTTTTTAGTAATTTAATTATAAAAGACGGTCAAACGAGTGACACTGTATGTGTGAATAATTGACTGAGGAAGTAATTCCTTTCCTATCAATTCAATTTCGGATAAGGAAAATTCTCAAATTCATCAAATAATAGCTAATTCCCGCCAATAACTTTCACTCCTCCCGCCTTTTACCGCATCCATTTTCATAAAATAAAACAAATAAACAATAACGACGTCGTTTTTCCACCGCCACATTACCCTATTACAAAACTGTCTAGAATACCCAAAATAACCCTCATACAGCAGATTTCATTCGCTTAGTTAAGGGGCAATCCAGTAAATTCTAATCTCCAAAACGGTGGCAAATCCCGTAATTTTCCTCAATTTTAAACCCTATTTGATAAACCAATATCTCCATCTATAAATACCCTTTTTCGAAACAAAAAAAAACAAAAACATTTTCATTTCGCATTTTCTCTCTCTTCTTCATTGTTCCACTCACTCTCTTCAATCTATTCATCCCTAATTTCTCATCAATTCATCAAATTTGATGAATTTAATCTCTCCTTCATCGTATGATACCCTAATTTTCCATCAATTTCTTCATCTTCTTCGATTATTCTGATGATCGAAGAAGAAATCAGTTGAATCTTGTTTAATTGAGCATCTCAATCGCCCCAAAACTCGAAAGAAAACCCTAACCCTAGCAGCATCATTTTTAAGCGATGTCGACGAATCCATACCAAATCAATTTGGAGAACTTTTCGAAGAGATTGAAGGCTCTCTACTCAAACTGGAAAAGTAATCCAGATTTATGGGGAGAAGCTAAGGCGTTAGCAATCGCAACGCCGCCAGCGTCGGAAGATTTGCGATACTTGAAATCTTCGGCGCTTAACATTTGGCTTTTAGGTTATGAGTTTCCTGATACGATTATGGTGTTCACTAGGAAGCAGATTCATTTCCTTTGTAGCCAGAAGAAGGCATTGTTGCTTGAAGTCGTGAAGAAGGCGGCTAAGGATGCCAAACAAGTTGAAGTGTTGACGTATATAAAGAGGAAAGGCGAAGACGGTTCGTCGCATATGGATACCATTTTGAAGAGTCTGCGTGCGTTAGAGGAGAAGCCCGTGGTTGGGTACTTGTCGAAGGAAGCTCCGGAAGGAGGGTTGTTGGAAATGTGGGTTGATAAGCTGAAGAATTCGGGTATGGAGCTGAGTGATATTACAAACGGGTTGTCGGATTTGTTTGCTGTCAAGGATGCTGGAGAATTGGTGAATGTGAAGAAGGCCGCGTTCTTGACGGCTTCTGTGATGAAGAGTCATGTTGTTCCGAATTTGGAGAAGGTTATCGATGAGGAGAAGAAGCTGGCGCATTCGGCTATGATGGATGAAGCTGAGAAGGTGATTTTGGATCCTAGCAAAATTAAGGTCAAGTTGAAGGCGGAAAATGTGGATATTTGTTACCCTCCGATCATTCAGAGTGGTGGGAAGTTTGATTTGAGGCCGAGTGCCTCGAGTAATGATGAGAATTTGTATTATGAGCCTGCTAGTGTGATTATTTGTGCTGTTGGGTCTAGGTATAATAGCTATTGCTCGAATATAGCAAGGACGATCTTGATTGATGCTAATTCAGATCAGAGTAAAGCATATGAGGTTTTGCTTAAGGCGCAAGAAGCAGCCATTGGTGCTTTGAAGCCTGGGAATAAAGCTAATGATGTTTATCTAGCCGCTCTTGCTGTGGTTGAGAAAGAGGACCCGGGATTGGTGGCGAATTTGACTAAATCAGCGGGTACTGGTATTGGCCTTGAATTTAGGGAGTCGGGTTTGAACTTGAACGCTAAAAATGAGAAGGAATTGAAACCAGGGATGGTTTTTAATGTTGTTTTAGGATTTCAGAACATGAAGACTCAGGCAACTAACCCCAAAAGCCAGAACTTTGCCTTGCTTTTAGCTGATACTGTCATTGTTGGGGAGAAGAGCCCGGAAGTTACAACTTCATTGAGTTCAAAGGCATTGAAGGATGTTGCTTACTCATTCAATGAGGAAGAGGAAGAGGTTGAGCCACCAAAGGTAATTGTATTGAATATAATTTTTCTGGATGAATGGTCTTTTTATAGTGAGCTGTTACTCTGATTTGTGGTTAATTTAATTACACTTTTACTTTCATATCTTCAAACAATAGCTGCAAGTTGTTTTTGAAAATTTTCCTAGTGTTATTGATGATTAACATGTGCTTTTGTGGCTAATCTAAGAACATGGTTTGAAGATTTATGTTGTAAAAAGTTAATAGAATAGAAAGTGAAAAGTTTGTGTATTGGAGTGAGTTGCTTATGGTAATATAAGATGTTCTGAAGAAGAATAATTACCATCAGTTTAGCCAAAAAGAAATTGGTGACAATTTTATGTCTATTTATGTTGAATTTCATGATGTTTGTGCTTTATAAAGTATTTTTGTTGCTGTCTCTGTAAGGAGATCTGTGGGTGTATTTGATCTTCAAGAGGTTCAATATTGCCTGAGGATGTTATCATATAATTAGAGTTAGAATATGTGATTGATTGCTTCTTCCCAAGGTGCACCTCGGTGAAGTGATATTATTGTGACGTTTATAAGAGATGTTTTTGGCTTCATTATATTGTCTAATTAGGTAATGCCTGAACCTTTGTTGACGTGTGTAAAAACTTGACATGTATATAAATCTCTATTTTTTTATACATTTGGAATTTGATTTATAGCTCAATTACTTTTTGATCAAATTGAGACCGTCTCACCTAGCAAACAAACATAATTTCACTTTCAACGATAACCATAAATAGGTTGAAGAATTTGAAACCTGTAATCTTTCTTTTCCATTAATTTATGACTTTGGTCGTAAGAGGAATTATGAAATGCTAGGAAATTGAAGGAGGAGAAAAACTAAAGTGGGAAGATTATTCCCACTAAATCAAGGAGATGGAATAGCCAAGAGAAAGAGTAGAAGGAAAAGTGGGGAAGGGAATAAGAGTCATCAGATAACTTTTTTAAATTATCAAAAAGATGTAGAGTTATAGTTATAGTAGACATTGGACAGCCAGACAACCTTTATTTTCATGGGAAATTTGGAAAGGAGTTTTGCAGTTGCCAAAGTGACAAGTGTTATTTTTGTCTTTTTTAGGATGTAATCCAAAGCATCAAATTAAAGCTGTAAAATGGGAAAAGAAAAAATAGTTTATGTGAGTTGGGTCTGGAAATTGGAGTAACTTTGGGAGGGTAGCCTGTAACAATGGAGTCCTATAAATGTGAGATTCAAACTTGCTTTGTATCACCCTCTATGAGTTTCTGTGTAGTCATTCATTGCTGCTTTTATAGTGACTTCATCAGATGCACTTTGCTATTTTGTTCACTAAATACTTCACTCGTGACTTTCTGGTAACATAATTTTTTGATGTTGGTCAATGGCTTTTGAAATGATGAGCCACTACAGAGTATAACTTATAGTGATTGTGATAATGACTAGGCTTTATTTGGAAAGGTATCTTGGATGCTGCTCATGATGTTATGTGTTTCTATTGCATGTCTTACACATTCAGTTTCTGCCATTTGTTGCTCTACTAAAATTAAAATTAAGGTGTGATTTACATGACCAATAAGCTGAATATGTGGCTACTTTGTATGAACAATTTATATGTGATCCCTTTTATCTGTATTTTCTTCTCACTTGATTACCTTGCCAAATTTTGTCTTCCACAGGCCAAGCGCAAGGTCAATGAGGCTGAAGCTGTTCCTACAAAAACTACTCTAAGGTCGGATCATGGGGAGATTAACAGAGAAGAGCTTAGGAGGCAGCACCAAGCTGAACTTGCTCGTCAAAAGAATGAAGAAACTGCTCGGCGACTTGCTGGTGGTGGTGCAGGGGCAGGAGATAATCGTTCTTCGTCAAGATCTTCAACAGAGCTGGTAGCTTACAAGAATGTAAATGATCTCCCACATGCAA